TTTCTGTTACAGCAGTACTAGATAACTAACACAAGTAATACTGACATCTTAACAATATTGTCTTCCAGTCCATGAACATGGAACATCTTTCCATTTATTTAAGTCTTCTTTAATCTCTTTCAGCACTGTTTTATAGTTTTCATTGTGTAAGTCCTTTACATCCCTGGAGAGATTTAACGCTATGTATTTTATTCTTTTAGATGCTATTGTAAATGGAATTGTTTCTCTAATTTTTCTTTCAAATTTCTCATTGTTGGTGTGTAGAAACTCAATTGATTTTTGTTTGTTGACCTCGTACCCTGCAACTTTGCTAAATTCCTCTATTAGTTCTAGAAGTTTCCTTGTGGACTCTTTGGGATTTTCTGTATATAGGATCATATTATCCACAAATAGAGATAGTTTTACTTCTTCTTTTCCAATCTGTACACCTTTTATTTATTTTTCTCATCTTACTTCTCTGGCTAGGACTTCTTATACAATATTTAATAGAAGTCGTGAGAGCAGGTACCCTTGGCTTGTTCCCAGTTTCAAGGGGCAAGGTCTCAGTCTTTCTCCAGTAAGTATAATATCGGCTGTTGGTTTTTCATATATGCCCTGAATCATACTGAGGAATTTCCTTCTATTCCAATCTTCTTTAGGGTTTTCATCAAGAAAGGGTGTTGGATTTTACCAAATGCTTTTTCTGCATCCATACAGATGATCATGTGGTTCTTTTCCTTTTTTCTATTGATATGATGTATTATGTTGATTGATTTTCTAATGTTGAACCATCTCTGCATTACTGGAATAAATCCCACTTGGTCATGGTTGTATGACTTTTTAATATGCTGTTGAATTCTGTTCATTAGTATTTTGCTGAGTATTTTTGTATCTATATTCATAAAAGATACTGGCCTGTAGCTTTCTTTTCTTGTGGTGTCGTCTGAATTTGGGTATCAGTGTTATGTTTGCTTCACAGAATGAACTGGGGACTATTCCTTCCTTCTCTGTCTTTTAGAAGAATTTTAACAGTATTTCTGTCAATTTTTCTTTACATGTTTGGTAGAATTCCCCAGTGAAGCCATCTGGTCGAGCACGTTTTTTTTGCTGGGAGGTTTTTAATCACTGATTCGATCTCTTCACTTGTTATGGGTCTGCTGTGACTTTCTATTTCCTCTTTATTCAGTTTGGGTAGGTTGTGCACTTCTAAGAATTTGTCCATTTCATCTAGGTTATCCAGTTTATTGCCATACAGTTGTTCATAATATTCTGCCATAATTCTCTTTATTTCTATTGGGTCAGTTTTGATGTCCCTTCTTTTTTTATTTTGGTTATTTCCATCTTTTCTCTTCTTGTCTTTGTCAGTCTAGCTAAAGATTTGTAAATTTTATTGATCTTTTCAAATAACCAACTTCTAGTTTTACTGATTCTTTCTATTGTTTTTCTGTTTTGATTTTATTTATTTATGCTCTGATCTTTGTTAATTTCCTTTCTTCTGGTAGGTTTAGGCGTAGTTTGCTCTTCTCTTTCTATTCCCTGGAGTTGTTGAGTTAGGCTTTTGATTTGAGATCTTTCTTCTTTTTTCATGTAGGCAATTTATTGCTGTATGTTTCCCTCTGAGTACTGCCTTCACTGCATCCCATAAGTTTTAGTACGTTGTGGTTTCATTTTCATTTGACTCTAAGAAATTCGTGATTTCTTCCTTGACCCACTGGTAGTTTAATAGTGTGTTGTTTAATTTCCATATGTTTGTGTATTTTCCAGGTTTTTTCTTTTCTTTTCTTTCTTTTTTTTTTTTTTTAGTCACTGATTTCTATCTTCATTTGCTGTGGTCATAGAAAATACTTTGTATTATTTCAATCTTTTTAAATTTATCACAACTTGTTTTGTGACCTAAAATATGGACTATCCTGAAGAATGATCCATTTGCACTAGAGTGGAATGTATATTGTGCTCTTATTGGGTGGAGTGTTGTATGTATGTCTGTTAAACCCAGTTGGTTTATAGTGTCATTCTGGTCCTCTGTTTTCTTATTGATCTTCTTTCTAGATGTGCTGCCCAATATTGAAAGTGGTATGTTGAAGTCTCCAACTATTATTGATGTACTTTCTATTTCTCCCTTCAATTCTATCAGTGTCTGTGCTATATATTTAGGTGCCCCAGTGTTGGGTGCATATATATGTATGATTGTTAAATCTTCTTGATGAATTGACCCTTTTATCACTATATAATGTCCATCTTTATCTCTTCTGACAGATTTTGTCTTAAAGTCTACTTTGTCTGATATTAAGATTGCCACCCCAGCTCTCTTTTGGTTATTATATCTATCCTTTCACTTTCAACCTATTTGTGTCTTTAGGCTTAACATGTGTCTCTTGTAAACAGCATATAGTTGCATCATGTTTTTATCCATTCTGTCACTCTCTGCCTTTTGATTGGAGCATTTAGTCTATTTGTATTCATTGTAATTACTGAAATATTCTCATATGTTTTAAGTAAAGGATTTGTTTGTATATTCTTGGGGTAATTTTTAACTTGGGGTTGAGGACACAGGCAATGTCTTCTAGCCTCAGATGCCAGTCTGCCTTCCTTTGCTCAAATTCAAAAGCCACAAAACATCTTATGAAAGAAACTGTGCATATAAATAGAGACACCACTTTTAACTGTCACATCCCAAGGCACTCAACACATTTCCATTGTCATAAAATCAGCAAGCCATTTTCTTGTTCTACACTCATTTTCAAAGTAAATTACCTGAAATTTATACAAAATATATTAACTTGATATTTTACTTTAAAAATAAACTTCAAGAGTTTATTTTTTATTTTTAAGCATTCAGTTTTTAGGACAAAATGGTTAATTGTTTCTTAGTTTTTTTAAAAAAAAGCAGTCTAAATCTCAGGCAACAGTTTAGATCAGAGATGACACCACTTTAGAGCATGCTGGGCTGTAGTCAGAGATTAGCTTGCACCTATAATGAACAAAGACCCCAAACCTTAAAAAGTACAGACTTTTCTTTAAGTGGAATCCCTGGATAGTACAAATGGTTAGTGTGCTCGGCTGCTAACTGAATGGTTGGAGGTTCAGTTCTACCCAGACACCTCAGATAAGAGGTCTGGCAATCTATTTCTGAAAAATCAGCTATAGAAAACCCTATGGAGCACAGTTCTACTCTTACACACATGGAGTCACCATGAGTGGGAATTGACTCAATGGCAACCGGTTTGACTTGGGGTTTTTTTGTTTGTTTGTTTGCTTCTTGAAGTACAAAAACATGAACAGAGTTAAAATATGAACAACACAGGACAGAGGGAAAGTTACTTAGGATTAACCAATTTAAGGAAAATTTAGTAAAGAAAATAATATCCTGACTATTTCAACCAATTTTAAATATCTTTATAAAGTTCACTGGTTAAAAAAGTAAAAATTACAATGAATACAAAAAGGGACTGGCTTAAATGTGGAAATGTCCTTTATTTGAGTGGTCAGGCTTTGTGTATTACTCTCTGTCCAAGATGGAAATGGTAAGTGAACACTCAGAGGAATACCTAATTAGCATGAAGGACTTCAATACTCTAATCTTTGAATAATCCTATAAAGGAAAAGACTTAAAAAAAAAAAATTGAAGTCATTCAAATCTATAGAATATAAGAGGTATCAATGTTGATCTAAGTAAGGTTCTAAAAAATGAATCCAAAAAGTCAAGTATTAGAAGTCAGAATTTAAAGCTTAGCCTATCTTTTCTATTTTTTCACTTATTTTTAAACCTTAAAATGGTTACGCTAACATTTATTTGAACTATAGGTACTATACAATAAAACCTTATCAGGTCACTGAGAAGTGACAAAAATAAGATAAACAGAGTATCCCACATCAATGTGAAATGGCACTGAGTTCATATTATAATTTAAGAAATGCACTAGGCATAGCTGTGCACAAAAGGAATATGCTTTTACTTACAGTAAAATTAAACAAGGGAACCATAATTACTTAATTGGAAAATAAGTCAACTGGAGGGGAACATGTATGATTGTAATCATATAGATACTAGATCTTCAAAGACAGGGCCGTGAAGGTCACAGCAGCACCCAGATATCCAGAATGCACAGAAATGGGGAACAGTAACTACTCATAAACCAAACCACCCCGCTGCCATCTAGTCGATTCCGACTCATAGTGACCCTATAGGACAGAGCAGAACTGCTAATAGTGTTTCCAAGAAGAGGCTGGTGGATTCAAACTGCAGATCTTTTGGTTAGCAGCCGAGCTCTTAACCGCTGTGCCACCAGGGCTCCAATTACCCATAAAACCCAAAAAATCCCATTGCCATTGAGTCAATTCTGACTCACTGCAACCCTATAGGACAAAGTAGAACTGCCCCATAGGGTTTCCAAGGAGTGCCTGGTGGACTTGAACTGGTGACCATTTGGTTAACAGCCGAATACTTAACAACTGTGCCACCAAGTCTCCGCAGTTTAAAAAATAGGCTCAGGAGCCTAATGTTAAATTAGTAGAACAAAGTGTTTCTGGTATTGCTTTAATTTGCCCCTTCTTGCCATCTGACTTCGCTTTTGCTTCCCAATACTTTCTTTTGCCTCACCCTGAACATCCCGTTACAGGGCAGCAAGGAGTACAATATGAGGCAGAGAATAACTGTGTGAGGAGATGGCCCCTAAAGGCTTCCACTGCCACGTTAATAAGAATGTAGGAAGATGAAACACGAATCTCTGCCCCTAACAGCCCCTAAAAATGTAAGGTACTGGGTGAGCATAGTGTCACCCACAAGGAGAAAAAGGCTGTTACAGCTGACACCAGAAAATAAAATTTGGGTCTCAGTACCATCCTGATAAATACAAATGAGAAAATAATTTCCCTTTGGTGATACAATATTTACAGCCCCTGACTAAAGCAGTATATCAACCAGGCAAATTTACAGACTGACCACCAAAACACTCTGCTTCTACTGCTAAAGCCCTCAAGTTTGGCCACTGAAGTGATGTTTAGATTTACATTCACTTTACCTGTAAACTGTGGTAGTTGGAGTGTTCACCTTCTCATTCAGGATGCGGCATTTAAATTTATTGTACTACAAAGGAAAATATATTTATATTATCACCAAAAAATGTTTAAGTGAAAAAAAACTTAGTTTTTTTTAACAAGCATCGAATGGACATGTACTTCATTCTCGGTGCTGAAACGCAGGGGACTCAAAGTGCTCGCAGTGTAGAGCTGACTGCCACAGCCTGGAGCTACGAGCCTGTGCAGCTGCTGAGCGCTAGAAAGGCAGCCAGGCTGAACTGAGATGTGCTGTGAGTGTCAAACACATTGGATTTCAGAGGCGCAGTGTAAAAAAAAACACAAAATAGCTCATTATTTTTATATTGATTACATGTAGAAGTGATTTTTTTATATATTGGGTTAAATAAAATATGGTATTAAAATTAATTTCACTGTTCTTTTACTTTTAAAATGTGGCTATTAGAAAATTTAAAATTACATCTGTGGCTCAAATTTGTGGCTTGTATGTTTCTATGGGACAGCACTGTTCTAGAAGATTCCAACTTTCACTACACTAAGTAAATAAATTCTGAGGATACAGTGACATTGTTAATTTGTGTAAAAAACAAAAACAAACTTTATATTAAGTGATCATATCACTGAATTTTTTAAATATTAGAAGAGACCTCTTGCCATTCCACTTTCATCACTATTACCACGGTGCCAGGTACTTTTATATTAAATAACCACCCACAGGAGGTAGTTGTGTGTGTTTGGTGCGGGGGGAGGGGGGGAATATGGGAGGAAGGGAAAGATTTGTGTGATTTAACTGTTTCATACCTGTACAAATCGAATACTTTTCCTTCACAAAGGTTTGATTGGGTTAAGTTCTTAAGAGTAGCTGTAACTTTTACCAAGACAAATCTATTTTTTAATTAAAATCCATAAAACTAATAATATCACGCTTAGAAGAAAAGACTCTACTTTCTCTGATATGTATAATTTAAAAAATAAAATGAGAAATACATTTAATTATATTGGTCACAACAATATAAACAGAAAGTTGAAGCTTTACACGGTATTCTAGGCTAAAATTTAAAGGAAAGAGTTCACAGAAAAATCTAAAAAAAAAAAAGAGAAAACACCAGGATGTTACATGGGCTACAGGTATTGGTGAATTTAGTAGTCAGAATATTAACAATACTCAGAATTAATAGAAAGATACATATGAAAATTATCCACTACACTCTCGTCTGCCTGACAGTTTTCAGGAAATAGATAGCAGAGAGATGTCACAGCAAGTGACTAGCAGCAACCTCACAATAGTTTGCCAAACTGAAACAATTTTCTTTGGTGAGCAGCAGCCAATTATTTGCCCGCCCCTCCCCCTCCCCCCCAAAAAATCAAAAAGTAGTCTACATTAATTATTTTTAATATTCCTAGCAAAAGGTTTTCTTATACTCAGAGTTTCCCCAAGTTACCTTAAACATTTCCAGGAGGGTCTCCTTGGTGACTTCTAATCTTTCAAAAGGCTGCTTTTCTTTTATGATAGTTTTACATATGTTCTCCAGTGCTGACAATTCTGTGCTGGACACTACTCTAAAAAGAAGAGCAAGTAAGAATCAAAATAGATTTTTCCAATATTAAGCACGTTGCTTTTTGTGGATCTTTGTCCTATAGCCTTGTCGCTAATTGGCACACTTTCTAAATTGAGGAATTTGGTGTTTTATTGTACCAGGATTTCAGAGAGACCAGCATTCATCCACAGTGCAGATATTCCTATTTCTCAAAAAAGGAGACTGAGGCATCAACAGATGACATGATCTGCCTTGTCTCCAAAAGGATCTCTGTCAGGGCTAAATTCTTCCCTGCTGCGTGAGGTCTGCAATTTGAAAAACCCTCTTAGAATACTCCTCAACTGTAAGCTACTTTGAGGCCTGTACTTCTGTGTAGCCTCTATTCTTCCTCATATCTCACACATTTATTTGTTTTGTTCAAAAGAGTTGTATTGAGTGCTTACTATGCCCCTGCCCTCACAGCCTACGAAATCTTGGCTGGGAGAAAGATCTGTGATACAGTGAGCTGCAGGGCCACAGTGCACTCCACAGGCAGTCTGGCCTCACTGCCAGCTCCCTGCTTCATGCTCCCTCTGCTCCAGCACATAGTCTTCCTTGCCCTTCCCCCAAACACCAAGCATACTCCTACATCAAGGCATTTCCAGAGGCCTGGAATGTTCTGTCCCTTGCACCCTCGCTCCACTCTGGTCTCTGCCTAGATGTCACTCTACCCTTTCCTGACTACCCTGCCCATCACAATACACACTCCCACACCTGGTTTCTTGTTCTCTATAGCACCCATCACCACCCATACTAAATGGCTGTTCATTTGTTTACTGTCTGTCTTCCCTCAGCCAGACTGTAAGCTCCATAAGGATGGAGACTGATTTGCTCATGGTGAATCACCAGCACCAAGAACAGAGCATACAGCAGGCAGTCAAATGACTCTGTTGACCAAATCCGGGGGTGGCGGCAACAGGCAGTGAAGCTGGATGACCATGTGAGTAGGGTCTACAGAACACTGGATGCTCCGTCAGAAAGACCATTTAAGCAGTGTGGAGGAGACAAAATGTGCTGCGCAGACTAGGCAGGAGGATGCTACGGGTCTAAATGAAGGCAGAAGTAGAGAAAAGGAGAGCAGGATGGGAGAAGCATTTAGGAAATAACACTGGCAACACTGGGTTAAATGACAAGACTGGGCAGGAGGAGGTAGAAGGACTCTCAGGTTTCAGCTGTGGCAGCAGGTGGTATCCTTAAGAGCTGTGAGGAATACAGGTGAGGAGGTAGGCTATGGAGGGTGGATGCTGGTGATTTCAATACACACCTATACACAGAATGAAAGGCCTTCAATACAGAATGAAAGGCCTCTTCGAACCATCCCAGCCTGGTATTCATCTGAGTGAGATGTTTGGTTAAGGTCAAGAGTGCCCTTAACTATCACAAACCCAAAAACCCGTTTCTGTTGAGTCGATTCCAACTCATAGCGACCCTATAGGACAGAGCAGAACTGCCCCATAGGGTTTCCAAGGAGCAGTTGGTGGATTCAAACTATTGACCTTTTGGTTAGCAGCTGAGCTCTTAAGCACTGAGCCACCACGGCTCCAATTATCACAAAGCAGAACTGAACTAACTGCTCTCTAGGGACTAAACTTATGGTTTTGGTCTTAATTAGTAACATGCTCCAGCAAGTGAGAGATTAGATAAATAGCATTTGCTTCCTTCTGGGGAAAAGAAAAAAAGAAAACAATTTGAAAACTTACCCTTAGTATAACCTTATTAAAAATAATAATTTTTAAAGATGGTTAACCAACCTATAAACACATTATGCAATATATATAAGCCACTAAACTAATATGTAACCACTAAAAAACAATGAACTATGAGCACATGGATCCAGAAGTGAACACTAAGTGTGTTACCTGTCTCCAATGAACATGTCATAATAAAATCCATTTTCAATGGGTGGACCATAGCACAAGAGGCCTCCATAGTACAATTCCATGGCCTCGCCAAGAACATGGGCACTGGAGTGCCAGTACACCTGCAAGGCATGGGACAGAAAGGCCACTCACTACCAAGATCATGTCATGGAAGATTATTAGTAAAATCACATGAATAAGCAAGTGGATACACTTTAAGGGAATAAACGCCAAGACCCAAGGGTCATATCAATTTGTAAGGTAAACTGTCAATGACCACTTAGAAGAGAATATCACCTGAATCCTTCCTGGAATTCTACCAGGGCCATTTCCTCAGTTCTAGTGTAAAACTGCTGTTATGAGAGTCGACAGCTCAAGCACAGTTACTAAGTCATTTCCTTCTGTGCATATTAATTGTGGGTGAAACAAAACCAAAATCCAAACCCATTGCCATTGAGTTGATTCCAACTCATGGCTACTCCAGGTGTTACACAGTAGAACTGGTCCATTAGATTTTCTTAGCTGTAATCTTTATGGAAGCAATTCACCAGGCCTTTCTTCCTCAGCACCACTAGGTGGATATGAACTGTCAACCTTTAGGTTAGTTGTCAAGCGCAAACCATTTGTGCCACATAAGGATCTTGCGGGTGAACTAGACTGCGTGAAATCCTCAGCCATCCACTCAGAATACTGAGCAAAGCAGCCATGTGGAAACAGGTTCAGCCGGAGTAGGGGGAGAGTGGAGGAGTGAGAGACCAGTCCCCTCCTTTTTCTCCAGGGGCAGCCTCTCTGAGCTGGATGCGGAGAGCCAAAGTAGCTATTTCTAACATGGCTGGCATTAACAATATTTACATCTACACAGCAGTCTGCACATGCTAACAAGCACGTGACTGTGGAATTTGGAAAGATGGCTTGGGAAGAAACAGGTGTCATCAGGGAATGCCTGCTGGCTGTGTCATGAGACCCTGAGCAGTATGTACATCATGAGTTAATTCAACAGTGTCCAAAGCAGGTCGTCAGTCCTACAAGTTCAGAAAGCTGATTTGGTTTTGAATTCCCAAGGAGTCAGTTGTTTATGGATAGACTCAAACTCACTAAAGTCATCAAATAAACATAGGTGCCAATGGAACAAGATAGGTGGGTCCTCTGGCAGCACTTTCTTTCCCTTTATTAAAAAGGGAACAGATTACAATTAGAAAGCTGTTTGATAAAATACGTCGGAGCAGAGGGACTTACTGGCAAAGCAGACCATGTCCAGCCCTGCCCCACAGCATTCGGGGATAGGATGCAAGCCGACCCCGATGGCCAGGCTTGGGGGCAGAGCCTCTCTCCTGTGGATGGCACCAGGATGGCAGTCAACTGCAGCATCAGCCCAAATCTCCTCTTTGGTACATTTTCCACACCTAGATATTTGTTGAGCCAAACATCATGCTACGTGCTGGGCATACAATAGTGAAGAAACATATAGTCGCTGCCCTCATGCAGCTGATAGCCTAGTAGGGGAGACAGGCAGTAAACAAACCTATACCTGCATGCTCATAGGACAAGAAGAGTACTTTTCAAGGAGATGAACAGGGCATGGTAATAAAGAATGTCAGTGAAGGCCCAGCATACACAGGGAGTCAGGAAGGCCTGTGGGGCTGGAGAGTAGAGGATGGAACAAGGAGTAGCTGGAGAAAGGCTAGAGAGCTAAGCAGGAGCCAGCGACCAGGCAGGCCATGGGGAAGAATCTGGGTTTTATTCCAAATGTAATGGGAGAGGTGGGGCCAAGATGACAGAGTAGTCAGACAGCTTCCTATATCCCTCTTACAACAAAGACCTGGAAAAACAAGTGATTTGATTGTATATAAATATCTAGGAGCCCTGAACAAGGCAAAGTTGAGGAACTGGACTGAGCGGTGGGGGGAGAGGAAGACGGTTCAGAAGAAGTGAGGAGCGCCAGAGCGGTGGTGGCGGGACTGCAGCTCTTCAGCCACTCTGGGTCCGCAGTGAAGCAGGCAAACAGCTGCACGCGCACTTGGGAGGCAGTTTCCACATCGAGAGAGATCCGGCAGCAGCGATTATGCTTGGACACTCTGAACCAGTGAAAAGCAGCTCCCAAGTGGCTAAAGATAAGTACCTGTGTGCGGCCTTTTGCAGAGATTTAAAAAAAAAGCCCATTTGGGAAAATGCTCTCTCCCTTTTACCTCCTCCCTTCCAGCCCTGCACCAGTCCCGCCTTCCGAAGTCTGAGTCTGCTGGGCAGCAAGTAGATCCCAAAGGGCACCCTGACCCATTCTCCTGGCCTTGGAGAGGGAACAAATAAGCTACTGGCCACCCTAAGCCAGGAACTTAGGGTCGGCACAGCTCCTTTGCTAGGCACAGGCATAAGGGGCCCACAGACTTTGAGTGCCTTACACCCCTGTATAGACTTGTGGGGACCCATCTCAACAGTGTTAGCCCTCACTACCACAGTACAACAGGGTAAATATCTGAAGTCTAACTTCAACCGTTTCAGTTGTGAAGTGATAGATTTGTGACCCACAACATAGCCCTACCCTTTAAGCACGCACCTTTACAGATCCACACCAGGGGCCTGAGGACTGGTGGCTTCACCTACGACACCTAGTCACCTGCCACAGGAGTCCAAGAATAAGTGGTGCCCTCGAGTCTTTACAGCCAACAGAGTGGGGTGCTCATAGTCCGGCTGCAAAACTAACCTACCTACTCGCCCTAGGGAAAAGGGACACACTTTCCTTTCAGACTCTCAGGGGCAGCCGTCAGCCCCCTGCCTGGCTCAGCGTGTGACCCTCTACTGCAGCCAGATGCCGGTGCCTACACCAATCACCCATGCCTCTCTAGGACTGTAGGTGAGAGCCTGCACCCCACACTTGGTGACCAACTGCCTGGACACCTGAGCTGAACCCATATAGGAAAATTAAACGGACTCCTGTGTGCACATACTTAGTTACAGAACTAACTACCAGGTGACAGGACGTTAGAGCTTCAAAGCGCCAATGATCAAACTAGCGCACACAAGCAGCCTGTTGGGGCATATCAAAACAAAACAAGAAGCTAGGACTCACTAAACAGATATAAAATAAAATTATAATAACTTATTGATGGCTTGGAGACAACAGTCAATAACAAATCACATAAAGAGGCAGTCCATGATAGCTTCAGCAAGCTCCCAAAATAAAGAATCAATAAATTCTCTGGAGGAAGAGAATTTCCTGGAATTACCAGAGGCAGAATACAAAAGATTAGTATATAGAACTCTTCTAGAAATTAGAAAGGAATTCTTCATAATGCAGAAACAACCAAAGAACAGACAAAGTAGTAGAGCTTAAAAAACTTATTCAAGAACATAATGACAAATTTAATAGGCTGCAAGAATCCACAGACAGCAATCTGACATCCAGGAGACTAACAATAAAATTCCAAAATTAGACAACTCAATAGAAAGTCATAGGAGCAGAAATGAGGCAGTAGAACTTAGAATTAGTGACATTGAAGATAAAGCACTTCACGCCAACTTATTTGAGGAAAAATCAGATAAAAGAATTAAAAAGAATGAAGAAACTCTAAGAATTATGTGGCACTCTAACAAGAGAAATAACCTATCAGTGATTGGAGTACAAAAACGGGGGGGATAACAGAAAATACAGGAAAATTGTTGAAGATTTGTTGACAGAAAACTTCCCTGATATCATAAAAGATGAGAAGATATCTATTCAAGATGCTCATCGCACCCATATATGGTAGATCCCAAAAGAAAGTCACCAAGACATATTATAATCAAACTTACCAAAACCAAAGATAAAGAGAGATTTTAAGAGCGGCTAGGAATAAAAAAAAGTCATCTATAAAGGACAGTCAATTAGAATAAGCTCTAACTACTCAGCAGACACCACATAGGCAAGAAGGCAATAGGATGACATACATAAAGCCTTGAAGGAAAAAAACTGCCAGCCAAGAATTATATATCCAGCAAAACTGTCTCTCAAATACGATTCAGAAATTAGGGCATTTCCAGACAAACAGAAGTTCAGGGAGTTTGCAAAAACCAAACCACAATTACAAGAAATACTAAAGGGAGTCCTATGCTTAGATAATCAATAACATCAGATAACAACCCAAGACTAGAACACAGGACAGAGCAACCAGATATTGACTCAGATAGAGAAGTCGAAAATATATCAAAGCTAAAATATTGAAAATAGGGAAACAGAGATATCAATATGTAAAAAAGGACACCATTAAAACAAAAAGAGGGACTTAAAAAATGCAGACATTGATTTTTCATATGGAGGGGAAGTCAAGGCGATATAAAGAAATAAAAGACTGGTATAAACTTAGAAAAATAGGGTAAATATTAAGGTAACTACAAAGGAATCTAACAATCCTACAAATCAAAATAAAAAAGCAGAAAAATATAAAGACCCAGCAAACACAAAATCTACAACAATGAATAAGTTGCAAAGAAAATACATAAAGAAAAACAACTCAGCACAGAAAATTGAGG